CCCCCCCCCCCCACATATATATTTAAGGTGTTCAGGGATTCTCTGGATGGTGTATATGGTTAACATATTGGCTACTAACTGCAGGGCTGGGAATTTAAGTACCTCTGAAGAAATATCTGCTAATCTATTTCTGAACACATGGGGTCACATCAATGTAACTGGTTAAAAAAAGTGTCTATACCCTAATCTCACCCCCAAATCAAGCTCACTGCCATCGAGTTAATTCTGACTCATAGTGACCGTATAGGATAGGGTTGATTTGCTCCTGTGGGTTTTCAAGACCGTAACTCTTTACTGGAGTAGAAAGCCTCATGTTCCCTCCTGCAGAGTAACTGGTGGTTTTGAACTGCTGACCTTGCAGTTAGCAGTCTGTCTTATAACTACTATGCCACTAGAACCTGTGAATGTGTTACTTTACATGGATTTTGAGGTAGGAGATTATCCTGAAGGATGTAACCACAAAGACATACAATAATTACTGATTTTTTTTTGGAGTTGATCAGCAGGTCTTTCTCCCATGGTTCCTCTCTCTAAGCGGACTTGACCCTCAAATCTTTAGATCAACAGACAATTGATTTACCTGTCTGCACCCTCCAGGGACTCCATACAACAATAGGAGATTATCTGGGGTATAGCAGTTACAACCCAGGAGCTGTTTTGTGGGAGAAAGATGTGGTAGTCTGCTGCTATGAAGATTTACCGTCTCAGAACCCAAAAGGAGAATTTCTACTCTCTCTTATAGGATTGCTATGGGTTGGGATTGACTCTACGACAGCGGATTTGTTGTTTATTTAAAGTTGGGAGACTAGTGACACTTTATTTGTGCATCCCTGCTGTGGGGTTCTGTATACCTCTTCAAAGTTATATGTGCAAAGATACCCAATGTATAGGACTAAATTTTGAAAAGAGTAGCAGGGAGATCTGCAAAACATGAATGATCCCATTTGCCTAAGAACGTCAACAAGCGGAGTATTTTCCTTGCATACGCAGAAAAGCTCTGGAATGAGACACAATCTGTCAACAAAAGCAATCGTCTTTGGGAAGTTGTAATACATGGTCAGAGTCAGGTTCAGAACTTTATACTCAGTTTATTTCCATCTATTCTGTTTACTTTTTATTATTACTTTTCCATGAGTTATATTTTCCTAATAAGAACAAGAGAACTTCCCAGGTACTGTATAAACATCTCATCAGCACTGAAACAGATTATCTTGTGATATCTTGAATTCATATTTGTGGGGTGCACAACAGTTAGTTTCAAATGTTGGCATCCAGGGAAATCGGCTTTGTAAATTCTGTCTGTGC